AGTTCTATGTAAAATTAGTACTGATATATTCAATTAACATTAATAGATTTAATTAACTGATTAGTAAAGTAAGGGACCTTTCAGCAGATTGTGCATAGTAGGCAAGTGCCAGTCAATGAAAGGAGATATGTGTTTTCATAGAAATGATTTTCAGAAAATGGGACAAAAACAAAATATCTCACCACACCAATAATGGAAAGGTACTGGTGTATTGACATGGTTTCTAATCATTACAATTTTAACTTAAAATAGTAAGAGTGGCACAGATTTGGTAGATCAAGCATGATTTTCATAGTTTAGACAATTAAAAATCATCAAAAACATTTAAGTCTAAGAAACTTGGTGTAACTGTTTGTTATGTTGAATTTAGTCTTGCTGAAGTTAATCATGGATATTGTAACCATTAGAACAAAAGTTTGTTCTGTTTTTGTTTGATATTATTTAAAGAATGCTTTTGTATAATCATCAGTATTAAAGTTTTTAAATTGTACATAGTGAAATATTGATTTTATTAAATAAACTTATTGTGTGCTTAAACAATTATATAAAATTTTGTTTGTTAAAAAAGTAACAAATAACATTGTTTTTACTGTGATTGCAGAATTAATAAAATTTCATAAAATTCAAACCCAAATTTATAATGTCAAAACTACCAAAGCAAAAGCATCATTTAAAAAAATTAGAAAGTTAAAAAAATAAGGTTTAAAAAATTTTTAAGATAATTACCAAATTTGATCATGAATCTCTTTCAAAAATTCATAAAATACTTACTGATATTACAAATGACACTCAAGAAGAAGAAATGTTTCAATCAATTTGCAAAATGCCAGAACCAGAAAAAGCAAATGTATTATTGCTTTTTAATTTAATACAAAATCCAAAAGGCAAATACACTAACAAGATCATCTTACCTTATCTTTAAAAAAAAGCTCTAGACTTTTTTACAGATCCAAAAAACCAAATTAAAAAATTAAAGACTGAAAATTTTAAATTAAACTTTGCAAATAGAAGATTAATATGAGGTAATAAAAAACTAGTATATAAAATTTAATCTATAAGTAGGATAGTGTTAAAAATTTTAGTAAATCATATTTTATAAGTTTTTTTTCATATATTCTTATCTAATTTATGTTTTTATTCTATTAGGTAGTTCAAACTGATATCTTAACAATAAAATTAAAAATCGAATTTTAGTCATTCAATTATTAATAAGAAAATCTAAGCAGCTATATTATAATAAATTCAAACATCAAATTAGTCTATTATTTAGAACAAATAATCGAGAATACTTACCTGAATGGTTTGGTTTTCAACTAAAATGTTGCAAATTGGACAAACTTCTTTAACCACAATAGTTAAATCATTATATCTGATTTATGAATTCTTAACTAGAGAGTCTCTACAAAGATGGTTATTCATGATAACTTTAAGTACTTGGCATAAAGAAGTTTTACAAATTAAAACTGAAGCTGAAATATTTAAGGTCAAACAATATTCATATTATGAAATCCTTATCGATGAATCAACTCATAGAGAATTTAAATATTTCATAATATGTATTATGTTTTGAGATCATAAAAAAAATATACCATCAGTTATTGTTACAAATCTTGAGAATTTACTAGCCAATTGGTAGCAGACAGTACTCTCAAAGCAATTATGAATCATGGACTTAATCTGAAAAAATGTTTTGTATAGTTAACAAACAATACAGCCTATATGTTTAGTAATAAAAAAGATGCAATCATTCAATTTAATAAGAAGGCAAATGTAGATACAATAAGAATTAGTTGTGGAATGCATATAATGTATATTGTTTTTTCAAACTTTAAAAAACAGCATTTGACAAGTCACCTTCTTCAATAGGATTTTTACGGACATCACAACTATATAATCTTCTTTATTTAGCTTGGTATCTTCATGACAGATATGACTCAAGTAATAAAAAAAATCTCTCAATATAAAATTAAGTTGGATTCAAAAATTATATGATAGATTATTAGGATATCATTTCTCTTAATACCAATTGCCAATTCAAAGTTGTTAGAAATATGAATTACTTATTGTAAAACAATATTTAGATTGATGTAAAGCATATCTAGAATTTATAAATTAGTTTATTCAAGAATTTGAAAGTAATCAGAATACACCAACCACATATCTTTCAGATTGGTATATATTATATATAATATTTTTGATTTATGCATGCTTATTTAAATATATTAATTTTTTTTATACTTACTAATTAGGCATTTGTTTTATGATTGATTCTTAAATAAAAAATTAAATATTCAAGTTCAGTGCTTAGTTATATTTAGCAAATACTTATATGAACTATTGATGTAATTTATAGTTGGAAATGATCTTATATCCTATATTCAAGTAGAAAATCATTTGATTCAGCTTCTACCTAGTTGACATGCTTATAAAATATCAAACAAAGTAAATAAATAGATAAAATTTTTATATAAACTCTATGAAAATTTTGACTTATTCTTTGGACAAGAACTACTAATGGTACTTGAATCACTAAATAATAAAGAATTTAGTAAGCTCTTTGACAATTTAGAATAAGAATAAATAAAGAATATGAAAGTTTTATAAAATAGATGTCTCATAGATACATTTAGTATTGTCAGTATGTCAGTTAGATGGAAATTCTAGTCATGGATTTACATAAACTTTTTATCATATTGCTTTATGAACTCCATGATCTTTGGTACCAAACAAATGTGAAATAGAATTTGCAAAACAATTGAGTATTTATTTGGAGATATCCAATAATATATTTAGTCTTTGGGAAAAACTACAAAATAATCTAGAATTTAAAAATGAGTTTCTAAAATTTTGTTTAAACTCTAATTCTAATGTTAATGAATATCCTTTACTATATGAGTTTGTTAAAGAACAAATTTATACTATAATAATCCATCAACAGCAAGTAGAAGGACTCTTTAATAAATTAGATCTAAAGATCCACCCAAATATGACACCTACTATGAAACAGTCAAAATTGCAACTGTCATCTGAAAATATAGACATAGAAAATATTATCTTGAGACTCAAAGAGACTCATACAAAATGTCAAAAACAATTACCTATAATTTCAAAAATTGAGCAAAACATAATTGGGAAAGAAGTTACAACAAAAGTATTTTTTGATTTATGTCAAAATTAGTGACTTTTTTTTCGAATAGTAATAAATCTATATGAACTTCTTCTTCTTACCCCATCTTCTGTCTTCGTTTAGTTGTTTATAAAATAATATATCTAAAAAAAAAATAATAAATCTAAAAAAAAAGAAAAAAAGTGAATGTTAAATAAATCAAATAATAAGATAACGATAAAAAAAAAACTAATGGTGTGTAATGTCTGCTTATTGGCTAATTACTAGACATATGACCAGTGTGTAATACGTACCGATAAAAAAGAAATCTACTAATAATTTTTATATGGGACTATACATATATTTGATCTACATAGTACATTGGATACCCCAGCGTAACGATGTATACATTTGCTATATACAATGCTCCGTTTCTTATTTTGCGTGGCAACGTCACGAGCTATCATATTCAATATGAAATCTTATTTATTCATTCAGATTCGTTAACTTGAATAAATGGTTATCCAAAGTTATAGTTTTTTTTTTTTAACCCTCTAATTGAGGGACACCAGTGGGCGTAATTTATTTAAAGTTCTTATATTACAATTAGGAATGTTTACATTTTACCGTTTAAGGATTTACTTTTAGATTTTTGAGAATTCTATTTCTCATTCTGACATTACCGCCAGTTTGCTATTCAGGGTTTTGATTTCTTTTTCTATTCTATTTTTGATCACATGCGGGAGAATCGGTTTCTATTACATACAGTACATATTATACCGATACAATCAAACACACCGTACCCATCTCTAACTCCCTTTAAGCAACTCAAGCGCCTAGTTGACAAAATTATTTTTTTTTATAACCATCAAAAAAATTGCATACCTTATGTGTACGTTGTATGCATTATTATTCCGCGCGTGCCCATCTCTAGTTAGAACTTATGATAGATGATTTTGTTATTTACATACAACATTGGGGTGCTTTGTCGGTTATGTAAATCAAAACTATGATACTATATAAAAATCCATCATTGAAGATTTGTTTTTTGACTGTATCATCACAGTAGCACATATGGAGGTGAGTCAGTAGAATCAAGCAAATTTTTTCTAAGTAAATATTTTAAAACTTTGAATAACAATAACTTAACAACAACTTGACCAAATTTAATAAATTTTTTTTCAAATAAATTCTATAAGTTTGTAGAATTTATTTAATAAAAAAAATTTTTATTAAATTTGATTAAGTTTTTGTTAAGGTATTGGCATTTAAAATTTTTAAAAAAATTCAATAAAACCAATTTGCTTGATTTCTACTTACTCAACCCCATAGAGTGATCGTGATGGCTAATATATGATTACTATAATTAAAAAATATTTAGTTTATACAATTACTATTATTTAAGATTTTTAAATGTAGAGGATGAAATTTATTATTTTTTTAATTGATCTTGCCGCCATCATAAAAATCATTTTTCTTCTTTTACTTTTAAGTACTGACATAGAAGTATAGTACTGTAGTATAAAATATTTTAACGTAACTTTGTTATAAATTTAAAAAAAAAGTAATTTAGTCTCCACATTTAAAATGTTCGAATCGTTCTTTAATATATAATCTTTATATAAAAAAATGACATGTCATTACATATAAATGTTTAATAACTATCAAGGCTGATGCAGATGTTTCCGATACAGAAGCTTGAAATCTCGATTTGAGCCTACTAAGCCTACAAATTCCATATATACTCTCTTATTTACAACTTCAACCATAAATCCAACCTAACTATAAGAATAATATCAATTCTCAACCTCAGTTTCAGCCGTGATAAAAAAAATATACAACTTAATATTGAATATCGATATAACAATAAAGTATGAAAGAAAAAGTGGCCTAATTATTTTTTATCGGCTATAGTTTCATAAATTGATGCAGTAATCGGATTAAGACCACCAAACCCCGTACTACTAGAACTTGCGTCATTTGTAGTTCCAAAAGATTGGATTTGTCCAGGAGAATAAGGCATGAAAATTACTTTTGATCCCGAGGCTTTTGACATTGAAGTCATTGCTTCAAGATATCGAATTTGCTATTGTAAAAATGAAAATAAATAAATTTTGTAAATTTTGCAAATTAAAAAGATACTAAAATATCAATTATAAAAAATTAAAAGATTCATAACGCTTACCATAGCAGCAGGAGAATTTAAGAGTTCAGCGGCTTGTCTCATTAGTTTAGCAGAGTCAACTATTAAATAAATTTACTTAGCATTAATGAATTAATATATACTTAACAATTAGGAAGCAAAAAGCATTTTACCTTCGGCCTGAGCTAAAATAACTTTGCTTTCACCAATCCTTTTTTGTTGAGCAGCGGAAGAAAGAGATTTTTGTAATTCAGTAGAGAATGAAATATCACGAATTAAAATGTTTTCAACCTTTAATAAAGTTTATAGGATATGAATGAGTTAAAATTAACTAACAGAAAATAATAATTGCATAAAGAATATATAATTACTTTAACTCCCCAACCATGAGCAGGTTCATCAATAATTTCTTTTATTTCGAAAGCAATAGCTTCACGACTTTCGATGCAATCTTGAAGAACACGTGTGCCAAGAGTATGCCTCAACGTAGTTTGAGTCCTGTGAAATTTAAAAGTCAGTACGTATTTAAATAATTTGTCATTTTCGAGTTCAAATAATTACCGATCAACAAGAGCTCTGCGAACGTCAGTGACACCAAAGGTAGCTTGATAAGGGTCAATTATATGCCAATATAGAACAGAATCTATATGAACATATACATTATCCTGTATATTCATTAAGATTAATGAATATGGAACATCTAATCAAATGATTCAGGTTGCCATAAAATATACCTTAGTCATTATGGCTTGCTTTGGAATTTCTGTAATTTGTATCTAATAAATATATTGAATATGCTATATATTAAGATTGAACATTAAGCAACAGAAATTATTCTTTGGAAAAGAAATTACCCTCATATCGACCGGAAACAGCTTTTCAGTCATAACATTCACTTTAGTCAAGCCTGGATCAACAATTTTATAAAATTTGCCTGAAAAACATATGCATAATTAGTAAAGCATACAGTTTCAAATAAATGCGTAAATAATCATAATATTAGCATACCGAAACGCGAAATTAGCCCAACATTTCCTTGCATTACCTTTTGATAAGGATTGAAGCAGCAGCAGCAACAACAAACCGGAATCTAAATATACCAATTAAATTTAATGTAAATACTATGGACAGAAGTATTATTTTGAAAACATAATTATTACTTACTGATCCAAAAAACCCACAAATATTTCCTAAAGTATTCATCATTGTGCTATAAAATCCATGAGGATTATTACCTAAAGAAAATGTTTCGGAATAGGTAGTCTGCATTTGTTGGACACCTGAAGGCTTTTTACATTGGCATACTCAGTTTAAGCATGAGTGAAAGAACCTTTTTTTAAAATCTTTTAACGCTTAACAAACCTGCATACTAATAATTCCTTGACCAGTGCTGCCAGAAGGTATTGTCGAGTTAGACTTATCTACTTTTTTTCCAGATGACATGTTTAATATGTTTTAATTTAATATTGGATATAATAATTTGTAAATGTTATTAAAGCTTCGTTATTTTCGTTAGTCAAAAGGGACAAAATAAAGTGTTTATTTATATTTTACGTTATGACAACTCCAGAATCTAGCTATATATACGTAGTTGTTTACGATATTATTAATTGTACCTTGCAACTCTATCTTGGCGCATTAATCATCATCTTTTTAACACTCATAAAGCATTACCATTTTTGGTAAAACAAAGGATCATTTCTTATCGTTATGATCATTCTCGGTAAGGAAATAATTGGATTGTAGCAACGTAGTACGTAGGTACATATACACTAGTGCCAATAAAATCAATCCAAGAAGTCAGTATTAATATTTTAACTTTATTTATGTTTTTTAACTTTGTGTATTTACCAACAGGAGGATGTTACACGACAGATCCTTCACCCGGTGTGCAACATATAAAAAGGTTATATTTCAATACCAAATCATCCCACTAGTATTATGATTAAAATACCCCGATCACTATATCAAGATCACTGGGTATTTAGCAAAAATACCCTGATCGTATGTGTACAAGCGGAAACTTCGTTTCCGCTAATACCCAACGGATCAGGATATTTTTATTACTAATCCAACACCATTTTTATTATAATAATATGGTGTGGGATTATAATCATAATAAGTAACTGCGCAATGCAGTTGCGCAAAACCAGGAACGGGAAAAATCTATGCAGACACCATTTCAGTCACGGGAAACCATATTCTTCATTGCAATCCATTCCTGGTATAAGAAAATGACTCTTTATAAAAGAAGTCGATAGTACTTGCAATCTGAATATTGGTTTGAATTCCAGTGACTGAGCCTAAAAACCTATTAATGAAGTCAATGTCTGACTGCTATATAGTTGGTTAGCTAGCGTCACTCGGTTCCAACGAATCCGACCCATTCTGGGGCCCTGCAAATAACATTAAAATATATCCAAATTCTTTCGATAAAGTCTTTGACGATCAGTGATTATCATTTTATCATCCCGATAAAAAATTCGATGAAAAAAAATGAAAATTACCAAATATTTAGCATTGAGGCCTTTAAATTTATATTGGGGCACTAATTTTTGTGCCTAAAAAAACCTATTTTTACTATCGTTTGTTATAGTATCTTCGATTTTACAGATGTATGCGCTCATTTATGTTTTTTAAAAAAAATATTGAATGATGGATAAGTTACGCGGACCAATCAATTCCAAGATTCGCGTACAGAGGCATTTACTTCTGGTACCTACTTTTAAGGTATTGTTCGGGGTGCTACACAAAGTCACAATGACAGATTACCCAATCATATGCTGAGAATTGTACACGCATATTAAGTTGTCTGTAAACCATAAGTAGCTGCGCAACGTTGTTGCGCGAAACCAGGAACGGGAGAAATCTACACAGACATCATTTCAGTCATGGGAAACCATATTCTTCATTGCAATCCA